GGGAGTTTAAAATCGTTCTCCTGTAAAATTGTTATTTTTGACTTGCGTCACTTTTCTTGCGCAGAGGCGATATGTTATAAACAAGAAAGCATTAATCTCAACAACGTAAGGCATGACCCATGCGATCTGAATGGAAAGACAGTCCTGAAAAACAGTCTGACAAGAAATGTGTTGAGGATCAACAGGAGTGACGGGCGAACTCCGAATCGATATTGGAGGCCTTGTGCGAAACCTCGGTTTCACAGGGGAGATTATCAATTTAAAATATAAATTCCCAATCTCTAGGTGTATAGTATGTCTAGGTGTATGTCCGTATACGTACAAGCACATACGCAGTGTAAGTGAGACAGTTGTCTTTCTTTGTCAAGCAATCCATGTACCAGAAAATGTCTCCATGAGAGATAGTTTCAGTGCAATTTTGTGATATTCCCTCTTGTCGTATTTAGCCTCGAACAAGTTCTTTTTCTTTGTGAAACTTTTTTTCTATCATATTCCTTACAAAGCTTGCTTTCTCGCTAAAGAGCCGAATTTTGCATTTTGGCCTTCAAAATATTCATAATAAAATATAGCTTGTGAGCAGCTGTACAATTCATGAATTCTTATTAATCCTTTTTCCCAAAAAAGTCGCACTTTAGCGAAAATCTTACGATCGTACTGATTATCATCTTCTCTGTATTTTGGTCGTAATACAAAAACATAGAATCCGTAGTTCCGTAAGGAGTCTTCACCGTGTCTCCTGTTGTCCCTTAAAATCCTATAATCTTCACTCGTAATTTACTTGTCGTAGTTTCCCGCCTAATCTTATAATAACCGAAAAATATTGGAAAAATTATCTTTTCTCATTCTGTATGACTCTTTTCCGTAATTCTGCGTTTTAATGTATCCTAAACATGCCAAGAGAAAAGTAATAGTGGCATAAAAAATTATACATATCAAGAACTCGTATAAATATTGAGAAAATTTATAAATTATCTATAATGATTTCTCTTGCGAAAGGAAACGGCCACTTTTATGGAATATTCAAATTCGTACTTAAATATAACCCTCTGCTAAGAAATTTTTAATAATTTTAGAAAGATCTGAGAATATAAATCTCGTCTTTAAAGAAATCGTCCGCCGAACACGGTGCATTAACTTCTCATATCAGTATGACGACTTAAGAATCGCGTAGCTAAGTAATCCATTCAATCCTTTTCGAATTTAAATCCGCCTGCCATTCTCGTTGCGCATTTAAATCTATATTTAAAAGGTTTTCCTCAAGAATGAAGTTTTAATAATTCCAGTATATTTTTAAGACGTACGCAAAATCTTTATTTCGAAAGAAAATTTAGTAGAAAAGTAAAAAATCAAATATAATATTAATTTAATCTTACAAATGCTAAAATAGAGTGTGCAATTTTATAGTTACCATAAAAATCCCCAACAGATAATTTTATATTTGTTCTACGTGCTTTGTACTCTCAATAATATTAATTCACATAACTTTACGGCAAAACTTGACAATTCTACGTCAAAAATTTAAAAACTTTTATCTTGCTCGTAAAAAAGTAGCATTTGTTAGAAAATTAATTGAGCAATTAAATAGTGAAATATTTTTCACTTTTGTATTAAAAGCAGAAAAATCATTACGTTTACTTGTTTATGTTCATGTAATAACTTAAATATTGACCGGGTAACACATAGTTAAAGTGTAGTTTTCGAAAATCTTGTGCCTCGTAAAACTTTTCCAAGAACTTGGCAGTCCTCGAACACATGGTTTTCTCATTTTCTCGTAAAACTTGTTGAAATATCTAAAGGAGAAATGCGGATAAAACGGACGCTATGCATAAAACTCACCAGCAATTCCCAGTCGACGTCGTTTACCAGAACCAGGATGCCCGGCCTCCTAGACAAACAAGATAAACTTGTCAAATCGAGTTGCGCGTTTCGCCGCCCTCGGGCAGCGTACTGCATGTTAAAAACTTACAGATCCCGCGTTAACGCGCTCTCCACCAATTACAGTAAGTTAGCGAGACGAACGAGATCACTCATTGAGCAAAACTTTTACTCGAAACGACGGGAATTTCACAATAAATGCATCATACAGCTAATTGACTGCTAATTGATCGATAGCATTCAAATCCATCGAAACGACCAATCGATTCGCAGCCGACTTCACTATGCTTTCGCCCCGTGCATTATTTCATTCTCAACTTTGCAATGTTTTTACCTTCTCTTTTCCTTTTCTCTTTATTTGTATTATTCTTACACGTCAAATCCGTGTGAAAACATGTAAAAGTATCACAACGAAACAGCTATATCGTTTTGTGAATATTAGATATGATTGAAATTTCGAATGAGACAATTGATGTTTTTATCTCTGCGAGATGACGGTTCGTTTTGCAATTTTTAGTAAAAACCGCTATATCGAGAACGCGATATCGAGAAAATGTGACAACGCCGAATATCGAGTTAACTTTTCAAGCTCAAAAATCTTTGCATTTTCATCAAACTCAAATCCTATTCACAACGAATAGTTTATATTAAACAATGATTTCGTGAATTTCTTATAATTATATGTCAATCAGAATTGATGCTTTTGTAATACACGCTTCCACTGGTGAAATTCATGAAAATCGCCTCCAATTTTTCTCAAAAATAAATGACTTGACAAATTTTAATATAAAAGAATATTAAAATACACCAAACTTCATTATGAGCATCAAAACTTGATCAAAATTATCAATAATTATCTACTCGTACACACTAAGGCTGCGAATTTTTCCCAGGTACTTTTTCTTCAATAAAATAGTTGATAAAATGAATTGAAACATGAAAATATGCCTTTTTACCGTGACAATAGACTGGGGTTTTCTTCGTTTTATCATTAGTCTTATTAAAATCTTATTTTTCCATTAGAGATTTTGCATGGTAAATGAAACTATAACTTGATTTCCAAAATTCGGAAAAATACCTTTGTTCCTCTATTAATCAAACGTCGATTGTATTTCAAGTCATTCTGTAAAGTCGTTTTCGAGAAAAATTGAGCGATTTTCATGAATTTATTTACCTGCAGAAACGTGCAGCTATTTCAAAATATATTATCGCGAGTATGCAATTTATAATGCTATTTGTTTCTGATAGCTAATGACCGCGTTCAGCGGAAAAAGTTGCTTTCCAACTGTTGTAAAAATCTTGAATCTGACTGGCGTATTCACTATGGCAGAATCTAAGAGCATACTCCAATAAAATTTACGAATCTTACAACAGTTGCAACGTAACTTTTTCCGCTAAAAGTGCTTCTCACTGCAGCGTCTAACTTGAAAGAGTTAATAAATTGAGGTTTTTAAGTTTGCTAGCAACGACATTACTTGACCCCATTTCGGAAACACGGCAATATTTTCGTCCTTTAGTTAAATATGTAGTAAACGATACGGTAAAAATTGTTGATTACCTTTTGCATCGCGGTATATACAGGATAGGGCATTTTAATCTACGCACTGAAATGTCGGAAAAGAAGAAATGGCGCGCGATTTAATGGAGCGCACGATGCTGACATCTATGCGTCGCGCGCACGACCGCGGCCGCCATTTTCGTTGGCGATGTCGTCGCGTTCGAGTACGTGCGACGTAACGTGACGTGACGTGTTTACACGCCGACTAAAGTACTAAACTCGCGCGAGTCTGCAGCTCGGGCAAAGATACCGCGTGGAGTAATTTGACCCCGCGCCAAGTCGCCAACCGGTTGTACTTACACCGTGTCGCCCTGCATGAAGAGCTCCGGCCGCTCCGTCAGGAGGTTATCCCGCAGCCAACGCAGCAGTCGCTCGAGCGTCCCTGCGGTTGTCAATTTGTCATTAGCAGGATCATTAGCAGGAGATAGAAACGCGAGCTGTTACGCTTACATTCCTCGCCAGGTAGGTCCACCTCGTGCCGCTTCCTCCCGTCGAACAGCAGCTCCGCCCCGCCTCTGCAAAAATGTTGAGCGTGAATTGACGATTGCGTGCCGACGACGATCGCTTCACCTTACCCGAATTCGACGGTGAGGGGGACGGTCATCTTTCTCGCTCGCTCCAACGAGGTTAGAACTTAGAACCTTCCGCGGCGACGCACGCCAATTTCCGATCGCGTCGCGTACTTTTTCCGGAGAGAGACTCGAGACCTCGAGAGCGCGGCGCGCATGCGCGCGCGTGGCGTTAACCTCGGTACGTACTCGCGCCGACGGCGGTTTGTACGCGAGAGGCACAGGAGCGCTTCCTCGTGCACATCCGAGCCGTCGTTGTCTTCCGGCGACGCGCTCGAGTCTATTGACGAGACGGGGATCGACGCGGGTGAAAACGGGGCGGCTCTCGCCGATCGTCAGGTATGCACCGGTAACGCGCGCGCGGCGCGGGTCGTTGGTCCCGCGGGAGTCGACGGCTCGCGAGAGAGCGAGCTCGCCCGACGGACGGAACGTCCGTTCCGTCAACGTTGTCGCCGCGCAAGAACGTGTTGGCGACGACGCGCGGAGAGCGGGCGGTACCGCGAGATAATCCGCAGCGCGCGGCCCGTAATGGCGGCCGACGGTAATCCGTGCTTCTGTCTCGCCCGCAGATTTCCACCATGTCGGAGAACAGCGAGCACTCGCCCGACGACACCGAGACGGAGACGAAGGCGATGGAGGATCTGCCCAACGAATCGTGCAAGAGCGAAGCCAAGTTAATGATGAACCAGACAGGCGCGGCTCTGCTCGAGGACGAGGAGATGCCGACGTACATCAGCGTGTCCAGCACCACGAAGCCGGACGACTCGGACACTGTCAACGCGAAGCAGTCTGAGAAGGAGCTGCGAGAGGCGGAGAGGGACCGTAGCCCGAGCCCTTATCCCAGCGACGATCAGGAGGGGGCAAGTAGCATATACGTTCTGTCGTCTGGAGAGGAAACCGACCAGCATCCTTACAACGACGAGGATGACGAAGATGGATATGGAGATAGCGATGGTAAGTTGATTAAGAAGAAATATGTTGATCCTTTTTCTTCCACCCAGAAAGGAATATATAGTTCCGAGTGATGACAGTGTGTCTTTATAGAATGGTATTGTTATAGACATGGAAAACCTGGAGCTTGACAATGAATTTGACGCGGACCGTCCGAGTAACATGAAGCATTTGATGGATGAGGAAGACGACGAGGAGGAGGAGGATGACGAAGACGAGGAGGATGATGAGGATAGTCCTAGGCCGATGCATAATGATGACGACGGTGTCGATGACAATTACGAGATGGATTGTTACGATGGAAGGTCCGATGATTTTATCTTCAACAGGAGATTAAAGAATTGCGACAAAGAGAAGAGCCTTTCTCTTCAAGATTTGAATACGTACGAGAATAATGCGAGTGAATATTACAAGAGGAGATACTCGCACGGTGTAAAACCAAATTATGCAAACGTCGGACAGGCCGCGATGTATTCTGCGAACCAGAGAAAGCAATCGGTCAAGTATCACTATGTGCAGAGCAAAGTTAAACGCTATATCAAGGAATTAAAGGAACAAAATAGGCGTTCGGTAGAAAAACCTGCGAAACAGTATCCGGAAGATGCGATTTACCAAGTGAGCAACATCGATCGCAACGTGACGGAAAAGGCGAAGCCCGCAGTAACCAAAACAATCAGAGATTATGCCGAGAGAACGATCAAGGAGTTGGAAATCGCAGAGGAATGCGACAAAGTGGCCTACAATGCTCCGTCGCAAATAATATTAAATGGACAAGATAACAAAAGTTGTTTGGAACCATTACATGAAGAGTCCGAGCGGGATCATGTCCAGATAAATATGCCATTTGAATCAATAGAGAATGAAAACGCCGACAAGACGCAGAAACAAAATGGAACGATTAAACAGCTCAAGTTTAATTACCCCGACAGGGAGATTTCACACTTTGAAGATGCCGCACAACCGCCACTTATCCAAAATGGTCATCAGGAAGTGCCAACGGTACTTTACAATTTGCGAACCTTGAGTTATGAAGAGTATATGCAAGGCGCCTCTGACTCTAGTCAAAAAACTGATAATAGAAATGAACATGTTACTGAACAGGAACTTGTTCAACCGGAAACCTACAATAATTCAGAGGTAATGGACATATCCACGGATAACGAAGACACTTGTCCATTAAGGATTGAGAATATAAAGAGCATCCAGATACCGGCGGACCAAGTGAAGAATAATGAGCAGACGACTTTTCAGAGAGCAAATGAGGAGTTTAACAAGACAACTTTGGATACTTCGGAGGTTACTACGCTGAAAAAGAAATTGGCACAGAAAAATGTCAAGTATAACGGTTTGCTAGATGCATATCAAAAACAGCTTATGGAAAATTTAAAGATGAAACAGGAGTTGGATGAATTGAGAAAATCGTTAGCCAAATACGAGAAGGAGAAGAAACCTCCGGAACAAAAAGTTGCGTCGGTTCAGACAGACGTTGTCGAGTCTGTATCTAATCGGTTTCAAACGGAGTCTACTCAGGTCAAGCAGTCTGACAATAAGATATCAAGTAACAGCGTCGAAGCGACGCTAAGTTCTATAGATCAGTGGAGTTCCAGTGCTTGTAACTTATCATTGTCCATGAAACCGCCGGAAGTAGCGAAAGCGTTACACTCTGACGACAGTGTAATACTGACTGACGGTACGCCGGGCAGAACGGCACGTTCGCTGTCACGAGCATTTATCACTTCGTCCCGAATCTTGCAAACTCTTTCAAATATTACGCAGGGAAAAACCAAGGCAGAAAGTCCGTTGACGCAAAATTCCAAGAAAAGATTAAGTGAAGATGTAACGATGGAAAGTGACGAGAGTAGTCCTCAACCTTCCAACTCTAAGAAAAGAAAACTTGCAGATGTTCTCGGGCCATCTACTTTTCTACATCTACAATCCTTTAATGCTTCCCAGACTGCCGCAGAATCACAGCCAAAGTTAAATGATAACGCAGGATTTAAAGATGACTCGATGAGGAACAATGTGGATTTGCAAGCACATTCATCTAATGCTAATACGAGTCAATTAGGCGCCACCGCCTCTACGATGGAAAGCAAGACCGACGTCACCGATGACCCAGAGGATAATGTTAAATACTTCTTGTATCGCGAAAACGAAAACAGCAAAGATCGTAGTTTTCTCATTCAAACGGAACCTGACAAGGCAGCTATTAATGAAAAAGGACGCATTCGAGAATGCGGCCCATACTTGCTCGGTAATGTAGAAGTAAGAATGTCCGAAATAAATGGAACGATCAACATCTGGGGTAAAGAGGTAAGTTTTTTATGCTCCCGCTTGGAAAATATCTACTTGAAGATTCGGTTATATTCAAATTGAAATGTACTTTTAGATTAGTCAAGAATCGACTGCTGAGACTGAAACAGAAATGTCTACTAAAGTGAATGATAAAAATTATCACTGCTGGCAAAAGGCACCGCACACCAGATTCAACGGCAGTAATTTAATATGTTCGACAAGCAAGAAGTCAAAGAGTCCTCCTAAATTTCAACTATCTTCGGCTACATCCAATTTTTCATATCTGCATTCGCCGTCGCTTAACGTACCAAGGGCATCATGTTCTACAGATAAACTGCATAGTCCAGGCGCGTGTGTTTCCTCTTACGAAGACTGTGATCTCTCGAGACATCGTAAAGACTGGTTAAGACACAAACGAATACATTCCCACTGCATTCATAATGCAAGCATGTCGGAACAAAAGTGCAATTGTTCCTTGCGCAAGGAAAAACAAAAGTTCGAAGGTAGTTTTAATCATAGCAAAGAAAGATTCAATACCCAGGAACATCGACCAAGTTTTTCCAAGAGCTTAGAGCCTAACAAGCATTTATATGAAAAACTCGCCTCAGAAGACAATGAGTACACCTGTAGAAATTGCACGCGTCATTCGCTGCACAATCCAGACAATTGTCAAGAGAATTATAAATGTTGCGTGAGAGAAAAAGAAGCGTGTCAGCCAATGAACATAGATCGAGAATATAATGAATCGTGTAATCACGCGTCTTCTAATGTCGGACATGAAGAAGAACCGTTACTAACGCTAAAACAATGTAATGAAACACTAGAGGTGAGTTTACAAATAATTCGATGAATATTGTACAAAAATGTGTACAAATTCTGACTTGTATGTATTTCTTCTCCAGACAAGACGACGAAGGTCAACTGGGAAAAGGGTACGAGGAATTTTAATGGATCTTATACGAGGGTGCGGAGATTGCTATAATCCTAACGTATCCAGTAATAGCAAAAGCTGTATGCATAAGAAGGAATCTAATTTAAAGAGTTGTTCTCCACAAGTTAAAATTTCGCCGTGCGCATCTCCAGAACCATCCTGTTCCAATTTAGGACAACCTGGAAGGTATAGTTTTAATATTTCTTGACAATTTTTCAACACGTGTTCCAGCATTCTAGAATTGTAATGGTATATAAATATAACATTGTGATTTCTGAAATTTATAATCTCGTAAATATCCGCGCTTTAAATATTCAATTCGACATCAAGATTGTTTTACTCGTTCACAGATGTTGCCATGCTTGCGCGCAGCGAATTGAATCTCAACTGGAAGAGTTTCGAATGGAAATGGAAAGGATGCGCTCGCGCTCGGATGCTATTCTTAATATGCTCAATATGCTTCATTCAGTGGACGCAAACTAAAGGAATCCATCTCAATACTAATTTTTCTCATATGTACATATATCATTTTCTCTTTTTTTTTCCTAACCACTATAGAAACGCGTATGCCTCATCCTACTTTATTGCTTATAAAAAAAGGTATAGTCGATTTGTTAAATAAAATATATATATATAATATATAAGGAAAGAGATATGTTTACATCCAATATATGCATATCTAACAGTGATACATGCCACTTCTTTTTGTTAAAGTTTCTGATAAGGTAGCGCCGTGTATCTATACATTCATAATATATTTTCTATGTGAAGAAAGTCTGTCAGATAAGTATTACAATTATCCCAGATAGCACAAGAAAAAACCGTACAACTTTTGTCTGAAACATTTTTTAATTTGCCTAATACTTTTTGAGATACTCGAGAGAAAATTTATAACTTTTTCAAAAGTTTAGCTTATAATCTCTCGATAACTGTTTGTCGGAGAGAAAAGTAGTATAGGACTTTTTTTTTACTTGATTTAGATCTAAAGAATATGCTGTTGCAATGTGGTGTTTCAATTATATTGAAAATTTTTGTCTATTTTAACACAAACTATGTGTGCTATCTGGGATAAGCCACGTGTCAAGAGATAGTAGGTGATTTCCATACAGTAAATATACACAACTCTTGAGTTGATATTTTTTTTATTTTAGAGACGTATCGTTTATAATTTACATGGTTATAAAAAGAATGACGGTATAACGTCGGTATAAGTTATTTATCAATCAACTTTGTGTCGATTGTATATCAAAACGTTATTATTTCAAGTATATAGATGCACAACGAGGCTTTTGTGCATCGTCGAGTATTTTAATTTTGCTACGTTGAACAAAAATATACAGCATTATTATGTAAAACTCGTGTGTGCACGCATTTAATAGTTGCAATCGCAGGAATCGTCTACCGGCAATGCACTTGTCGGTGTTTCTCCTTGGCCGAGAAAGATATTGCTGTAGGAAGTCTTGAGGTAGTTTACGTGTCCTTGTAACGATTTTATTCGGCCTTGCGCGTGTTTAAACGCTTCGTTCAAGTTAGTTATTTGACTCTGCATCTTTTGCCTGATCTACGTTAACGAGAAATTTGTCGTAAATACACACTTGAGCTCATTAACATTTCCAAGTCTTATCTACAATTACCTCGTCTCTATCTCGTTGAGCGGCGCGCGCTGTTGCTCTACACTGTGCCAATTGCCTTTCCATTTCAGCGATCTGGCCTTGCATTGATCTTCGCATGGTTTCGCATCGCTCCTTGGTCCTTGCTACTTGTCGAGCGGAATCCTCCCTTATCTTAAACAGAAGGACACTTTAGTATTCGCGAATAATCTTTTCTTTTCTTTTTTTCTTTTTTGTGTCACCCAGTCGATACACACACCTGTTCCAACATAGATGACAACTGTGTGTTATCGTGCATTTTCTCGTCGATGCGCTTTTGCAACTGCGCCTCGTGTTCCTCAAATCGTGCCAGTGCGTTTTTCATCCTTTCGTTCTCGTGTCGCAACTCGCCGCATTTTCTTTCCATCTCTTCGGACTTGCCAGATCCAAGTCCCCTTTCGTCCTATCGTAAATAATTTAGTATTTTTAATAAACGAAATTTCTACCGAGTGTTGTACGGGCTAACAAATTGCAACCTGAAGTGTTTGATACTCGGTGCGCAATACGTCCAATTGATTTTGCAAGGTTTGAATCTTCTCCTTGTACCCTAGTAATTCTCGCGACAGGTCCTCGCAGCTACGTTCGGCAACTAAGCGCATCTGTTGCGCTTCCTGCATTTTCATTTGCATCTGTTTCAAGATATCGGGCAACGGTGCAAGCTCGGCTAATTTCTCTTGAAATTGATTCTGATCGGATTGCATTAACACACATAAATTGAAAGGCTTTGCATAATTTGAATAACAAGACAACTAGTATTTATATACTTTAACACGTCCAATTTCCAAAGTAACATTCTCATTCATTCGCGCATTGTCCATTTCCATAAGATCTAGTTGTCTGCGCTGTTCCTCGACTTGCTGCTGGGCCTAAGATCACATGTTACTTTTGATTTTACCTTTATAATTGTTTCTACCTGAGAACAAACGTGGAATGTAATTTCTTCAGAACGTCGCAACGATGACACTAACTTGTAAATATTTATTGCGATAGTCTTCCAGTTGAGCAGCTTGATCTTGAATCAAGGAACGAAGCTCCTCCAACTCATCTTGCGCTTCTCGAAAGCGTTGCTTCGCCACCATTAAAGCCTGTTCCTGCTCAATGAGATGTTCCTTATGACCTGTCTCACAATTAATTTTGTTACATTAAATTGGAGATTCATGTGTCACTTTTTTTTTATCACTAGAAAGAATTACCCTCGAATTTCGCCTTTTCTGCTTCTAGAAATTTTAATCGCTCCTGAACATCTATCAATTTTATCTCCATTCGTTCCCTCTCTTCCTTTGCATCGCGAGTGTCTTGCTTGAGTTTCTCCGCTTCTGTTCTCATACATGACACCTCGCACAACTTGCTTTTATAATCATCCTGAAGTCGAGCATATTGTTCACGAAGATCACGTAATTGCTGTTGAGCACAAGTATTGCTTGCCTTCAATCATAAATTACGTTATTGCGATTATTCAAAGTGTACAATGAAATTCTCGTATAGTCTTACCGTAATTGTGTTGGTGCAAGAACCAGTGTACATTGGAGGCGCAGCCTGTGTAGTCATCTGTATTGGATAAAAATGTATTTGCTCACTATTGATTTTATAGCGAAGAAAACGCACGCGTAACAAGGTGTTACAATTTCATTGTGAAAAGCACATTAATTGTAAAATATTAAATATGAAAAAAAAAAAGATAACGTATGTATTACAGAAATTCAAATTGTTTGAAGAGTGTATGTAAAGTACAAGCTGTGTGTGTAAGTACTTGGGCGAGAGGCATCGTGGACACAGCAGGTACTTTTGATGCAAGTCCTGGCGTGGCTGTCGCACATGTCGAGATCGGAGGTGGGCAACAAGCGCACGGTGCGCAAGGTCCTGTGCATTTGAGCAATTTACGTTGTTGTTCCAATTGTTGTCGCTCACGTTGTACATTTGCTAGTTCCATCTGCATATTACGTACCTCGGTCTCCATACTACCTAATTGCTGTTCCTGAAAATGTAATCACATATGGAAAAAATGACTCGCTGATTTGCAACGGTTCGTAAGACTTACTAATTGTTTAGTGGTAGTGCCATAGGTCGTAAGTTTATCTTGCAATTCTGCGGGACATGTTCCTCGAGGAAGCAATGGTTTGACAGTGGTTAGGCCTCTGGAGCACATCTCTACGTTTTGCAAATCGTTGCTATCTGCAGGACAACGGTCCTCCGTTGGCGATCCACCTCCTGTAAGCCTCGGCGAGTCTGCAAGAGATTAAACATTCTTCTTTGTTAGGAAAATTTCTTGTACAAGGTAAACTGTTGTTTTGGCAAATATGCAAAGCATATATTTATTCATGCATAAAAATGTTTTACCGGGATAACATTAATATTATAATTTCTCAATCAACAATATAAATGTAATACGATAACAGTTACAGCGTTTTAGATATTATGATTAGTCTTACTGCATGCAGTTTCCGTAGTTGTCGATAAAGTGTCAGTGAACGGTGATAGAAAACAGCATTTGCAACGGTAGTAAGTATCGTCCTGAAGTTGCACATTGGCATGCGGAGGACGCGAGGATAACGCCGGCGACGTCGACGGAGGAGATGGAGTAACACCTGGGCAGGTGTAACAATAAGTAGGTCTCATCGCTAACTGATTCAAAATGGCCAATTGGCGGCTCAACTCCACATTCTCTTTGACAATTATACGCATTTCTGCCTGCAGGCCGCATACCTTCCTCTGTAAACTCTCGAGAGCCGTATCTTTTTCTAGTAACGCTTCTTCTAACTTGTACCTGTTTGCAGGGCAACAAAACTTTCCATACAATCCTGGTTTTTCGCTTCACTTGAATATTCCGAAATATCTTAATATTTCGATTTTTCGTTATATTTAAATTCAGAACGTGTAATTGAGATGGAGTAAAAGAATTTTATCAAGTTGAAGATGTTGTAAAACTTTCACCAACGGAATCATCACATTTAATTCATTGCTATAAGATCGGGTTATATATAATATAAGTGACATGCTTCAATGCTGAAAACATCACCGAGGGAACCGTTACAATTTTCAAGCATTATATTCGATCTTCTATTATTTGTTGTACAAATAAAATAAGTATCGAGTATTGAATTTCTTTTCATATCGAGTATTCAGTGTCCTGAAAAAGTTGATGAACGCAATTGCTTTGATCCAAAGCTATATTGCTCTTGGCCGAAGCTAGTTAAATTTTTGTTAAAAAGATTAAATTTTGTTCTAAAGATATACAGATATAAAATATCCCGTGTGAAATTGTTTATAATCGTCATACATAGAAAACATAATCTGTTAGATATTATAGAAGAAACGAGCATACTTTCCACCTTCCAGTTGCGCGTTTTCTTTAACCAATTTTTCCTGCATCGTTAAGGACTCGGTTAGTTTGCCAGTTAACTTTTCAAAACACTTTTCTCTTTCTTTCCGCTCAGTGTCCGCTACCACGAGTTTTGGAAGCACGTCAGTATAGCCACAAACAATTACTCTCGGAAGTCTAATAAAAATACACAATCGAGAATACCTTGACCGGCTGACAAGTACGCTTTTGTACGAATAAAATGTAACTTACTTATCTTCGGGATATTGTATTTGTGGTATCTCAAAGTGGTCTTGTAAAATTCCTTCGAATGGTTCAACTTCTTTTTTATCCACTTGTTCCATTTCATCGAGCCGTTCTACTTCTTCTCGCGCCTGCAATATATTTATTGCATTATATTTTTAACAATTTATTTTACATATGTGATGACATGTAAAATAATTCAATCTTTTAAAGTCTTTCGTAATACTTTTTGAAATTTTTGTGTCAATTGCTCCAATTCGGCTACTTTTGCCGTAAGAACATCTTGTTTGTCTTTAATTGTCTGCGTATCTTCATCTGTTAACTCCGGTTTCTGCAAATTAAGGAAAATTCTTCTAATTTATTATCATATTAACAAAGTTGTACCAACACAATTAAATGTTACCTCTAATAATTCTGAAACTTCACGCTTTAATTGTTGGATTTCATCTGTTAGCAAAATGCATCTCTCGTTCATTACTTTTAGTTCTATAATTATGTCATCAGTTAAAAGGGGTGAACTGACTATCGGTTTTACAAGTTGCTTAGATTTCGTCACTTGATCTGCCATTTTAAGACGTAATTTAAGAGAGTGAGAGAGAAACGGGAGAGGAGAGAAAAAGAGAAAAAATGGTTTAAAAAAGTAATTCAACTATACCTTCCATAGCTTGAACGTCAAGGGGGGTAGGATAGAGTTGAGGCTTTTCTAGTAAATCATCTCTAGCTTTAATATCTTCTTTTATTTCCTCTTGAATTTTACCATTGTCTGTATCGTCATTCTTCTCATCAATATCTCCTTCAACTTTGTCTTCTTTATTGCCTTCAACTTTATCTTTGTCATCAGTTTGATTTTCTTTAATTTCGTCTTTGTCATCAGATTTCTCTCCTCTTACAGTGCTATTTTTATCTGTATTCTCATCATCACGCTCATATTCCTTCTTTTTTTCGGCTTCCATAGTAGATCTCTCACCTACGATAGTATCATCAACTGCTTTCTTGTCCTCTTCTTCTTGCATTATGCTGTTCGACATTTTGTTTTCGGCTATATTTCTACAGATATTACATATATTATTAGTTCATATACATTTTATGTTAATAGATATAAATGTACTATATGCATTATAAAAACAAAGAAACTATTACACCGATCGATTTTGTTGTAATTCCACCAATTTCGGTACTTCCAATGACAATACTTTTTCTTGGTTTGCTTTTATCTGATTTATTGCATTTTGTTCAACTGTGACTTTGTCATATTTTGCATACTGAAAAAATTGTCAATTCTTTTTATCATAGTATGTTATCTCAGTCTCGTTATTTTTAGTTTTTAATACTTGAAATAATACAAAATAAATTGTTACAAAGACGAGTAATCAATTAAATAATTGAAAACTGAAAGCAAATAATTACTGCCTGGGAAACAAGCGGCTTGAGATTTGTCCGTGGCGAAAAAGTTTGCAGAAATAATGTTTCTACATAGGGTTCTGATTTTGTGGCAGTAGATGTTTCGACTGATTTTTGTTTACAGTGAAATGCTAAAGGAAATACATAATGCAAATTTAATGGTTTCTTTAAGTCGAAGAGAGATTCCAGCGAAGCAAACGCGTCTTTCCTTAAACATGACGTATTATCATAATTTCCATTGTTTTGTTGAAGCTTAAAATAGCCTTGTTTAAAACTTGGTTCCTTCGAATCGTGAGAACTCCTTGCTTTAGTCGGTAAACGTTGGTGCGTATGGGAATATTTTTGTGAGGGGGAATGCTTTTTTGCACGTGGTCGTTTCTGTACAAGAAGAAGAACTTTTGTACAATTCTATAATATGTGTAATCTTTTGTGCAATTTTTTTTAGGATTATATACATAAAATAAAATAACCTTTAATAAAAGCACTAGCTAATTTTTTATGTATTCGAAACCATATATAAAAAAAGTTGAATGCAACGATGTCATAAGATGTCACACTTCTTTTCTAAGATTAATTACGAAACATATATTAAAAAAAACAAATATTCTATTTTGAAATAATAATTTTACCTTCATATTTTTACCTTCGAATCGCAGCACTGCTTTTTACTCGATCTAGCAAAATATAATGATGTTATATATTTGCAGCGCAATTGTAACCTGCAATTTCTTGGTTAGTTCCTGTGACGATATCGTTATATCATTAAATTGCGAGTGGTAATTTTAATATAATGGAGATATATATCTTTTTGCGCGACTGATCGAAAAGGTTGTATATATGAGATGATATCATTACACAATATAGATACGTATGAAAATAAAATAAATCTCATATAATGTCACCATATCTTGCTCACTTCAAAATATTTCGCAATTCTTTTGATCAAATACGTAATACGTGTGTCAATTATTTATATTTTCTTACAATGCTTGACGAGTATCAAAATATAATTATTATATATCTCTGATGACACTTGAACGTCAAAATATGAAGATACAATCCATACAGTGCACAAAACTTGCAGTTATATTATACTATTGCAGCTACACCGAAGCAATGTTACAATATTGCAGCAATGTTGCTACAATGTAGCAACGTGATGACGTACACGCACCGGCATAAATGCCTGTCCCTATCCCTGTGAGGTGCACGCACACACAACTACAGGGACTCTAGTTGTGTGCGTGCACCTCACAAGGATAGGGATTTATGCCGGTGCGTGTACACTAGAAGAAGACAGATACCCAAGTAAATTCATGTTGTCCTTTTCCCTCATAAGTAGTCTATCTTTTATATGTCTATGGCTGGGGCTAAGGGCCGGGGCACACAAATGGCCTTAAGCAATAAGACGTAAGCAGTAAACGAATTGACCAATCATAGTCGAGAATTATGGCAGCCATATTATATATTCTTGACTATGATTGGTCAATTCGTTTACTGCTTACGTCTTATTGCTTAAGGCCATTTGTGTGCCCCGGCCCTTACATATAGAGATTTAAATTCTAAGGCTGGATTCACACGGAGCGGGATCATTCACGGGATCATTCTGATGGAACCGTTTCAATAATTCCGTTGAAATAGTTGTGTGATTACGCAGGTTACGCTTACGCAAGTTACGCTCCATGTGAATGAGACCTAAGCCTTAAGAAATGGCCTATTCTACTCATACTTGACCGTGATTGGTCAATTTCTTACCCCTGGTCCACAATCATGCTTTAAGTAAGCTGTAAGGGCACAGTATAACCA